GGTACCTCCAGAGTCTGGTACCTCCAGAGTCTGGTACGTCCAGAGGTGGGTACCTCCAGAGTCTGGTACCTCCAGGGGTGATTACCTCCAGAGGTGGTTACCTCCAGAGATATCCCGAGGTTGGTATGTCCAGATATTTGTACCTCAGATGTTACCTCCAGAGCCTGGTGTCCCACGGCGAGTAGCCCTAGATGTTGATGGGTATCTCCAGATGTTGGTGTCCGGGTGTTGGTACCGCTAAAGGGCAATGAAGGTACAACCATTCTCCACGTGGAGACTGGAGGAGCTGATGTGGCCTTTGCAAGGTGACAACCTCCACCTAAGAACTCCTAGGGGAGCCATCCTCCCCCCATTTTGAGGTCCATCACCCCCTTTTTCCAGGTGACGACACTAAGCGGAGCCGGTTCCCCCTCACAGCCAAGTTTCTCCGGCTTCTCCACAAGGTCCTGTGAGAGGAAGTTGGACTTTTTGGAGGGGAAATAAAGGGGGGAAAAAAAAAATCCAAGCAGAAGAAAAGTTGGCAAGAAGTTGGGCTCAGGGCAATGTTGCAGGTGGGATTCCTGGAGTCAGGAAGATGAAGTCAAGGAGTTGAAGTCAAGAGACGCGAGAGTTTCCCGTGGAGATGGGAGATGTCCCCAGGGTACCTGAACCATCAAAGAGCTCTTGGAGGAGAACTGGCCCATGAATCCTGTTTTCCTGGCCTTCTCCCCAAGGGAAATGGGATAAGGTGGTCCCACGGCCGTATCACCTTCACTCTGCCCTGTGGAGAACCTTCAAGCTCTTGATCATCTCCTTGATGGACGACCCTTGAGGCTAAAGGTTCATGTATCTCCTCTGAAGGGACCGGCACTGATTTCTTGATCTTCTTCCCCCACCAGGGACCTCAGCGTGTTAATCGGGACGGACACGTTACGGGATGGGACGGGGGAAGTGAGGTCCATTTCAAAGCTCTACGTCCATCCGGCCTACAACCCCCGCAAGAACGATAACGACTTCATGCTCCTGAGGTTGAACAAGCCCGTTCAGTTCAGCAACAACATCAAGAAGATCAGATTAGCCACCAAGTGTCCCATGGATGGGATGAGGTGCAGCGTCTCTGGCTGGGGCACCACTAAGTCCCCTGGAGGTACTGGCTCGTGATGGAGACCTCGGTGGAAGAGGTGGGATGAGGGGGAGGCAACTGGGCAGGGGAGAGGGCTAGCCAAGGAGGTCAGGTGGCCTTCTCAGCTGGGAAAATGGGATAAGGGCTTCCTTGATGTCACCTTAACCCTGCTCAATGAGCAGCTCCCCCCTCGGAGAATGACTTCCACTTGGGTTTTCCCTTCGGTGTTGGGTTCCCTGGCTGCTGGAGGTCTCTCCATCGTCCACCTCCCAAAGAACCCCACCAAAAAGCGTCATGAGGTCTGCTCAGGCCTCAGCCGAGACCTTCTCACCTTCTCTTTCTCCATCCCCACCTTGTTCTGCAGCAAAGCTGCCCAAAAATTTGCAGTGCGCCGTCATCCAAACCTTCGGGAAGGGCAAGTGCGCCAGGGCTTATGGGAACGCCATCACCCCCAACATGTTCTGCGCCGGCGTCCCCCAGGGGGGCATCGATTCCTGCCAGGTAAGAAGCCGGGAGGGAGGTGACGTCCCTTCAGCCACCTCCCAGGTGGCTGCTGGGGAAAGGAGGGTCTTGGTGCGGCTTTGAGTTCAAACACAAGGTGAGATGGATCCACGCAAGTCTTGGGTTCCTTCAAACCAAGCCGTTCAACCAGGGAACGACCACGGCACGTGGAGGGTTCATGCGAGGTCCGGGTTCTCCACAACTACCTCACGCTTCAGCCACGGAGCTGAGGGTGGGGCTCTGGCACGTGGACAAGTCCACGCAAGGTTTGGGTTCCTCCGTTATCTCCAAGCCAAGCCGTTCAACCAGGGAACGACCACGGCACGTGGAGGGTTCATGCGAGGTCCGGGTTCTCCACAACTACCTCACGCTTCAGCCACGGAGCTGGGGACGGGCTCTGGCACGTGGACAAGTCCACGCAAGGTTTGGGTTCCTCCATTATCTCCAAGCCAAGCTATTATCTCCAACCCAACCCATAAAATCTGGGAAGGGCCACAAGACCCGGATGAGTTCAAGCAAGGTCCAGGTTCCCCCAGAGCTACCTCATACTTGAGCCACAGAGCTGGGGATGGGTGCTGGCACGTGGACAGGTCCACGCAAGGTTTGGGTTCCTCCACCGTTATCTCCGACCCAACCCATAAAACCAGGGAAGGATCATCAAGGTTTGGGTTCCTCCACCGTTATCTCCAACCCAACCCATAAAACCAGGGAAGGGTCATGGCACATGGACAGGTCCAAGGAAGGTTTGGGTTCCCACCAACCACCTTCTGCTTGAGCCACGGAGCTGGGGCTGGGTCACGGCACGTGGACAGGTCCAAGGAAGGTTTGGGTTCCCACCAACCACCTTCTGCTTGAGCCACGGAGCCGGGGCACGTGGACGGGCCCATGCAAGATCTGCGTCCCCCCAAGCAAGTCCCACCAGGTGACCTTCTCCCCCCCACCCAGGGTGACTCCGGGGGCCCGCTGGTGTGCAACGGGGTGCTGCAAGGCGTGGTCTCGTGGGGGATGGCCGTCTGCGG